CAAAAAGTTAGAACTGGTTATAACTCAGTTACGGCACGGCTTATCCCAATGCTTGAAGTTCCGCCTGCATCACTAGTATCAACACATCGAATTCTGTTCACGCGCTAACAATTTATTGTATGTATTTCACATCTCCTCATGTCTCCCTATCAAATTCGGTTTAATGTCTAGAGATCAACCTTCTTTTAATTGGTGTTGATTAGCATTGTCTTTTATAGATATACTCCCGACCCTGAAATCCCGAAAGGAAAGGACATAATACTGACTAAATTGGCCAGCATTATAACTAATGCTGGCTAAATTTTTCGGTATTATGTCTTTTTCGGAAATCTGTCTTTCGGGATTTCAGGGTAGAACCTCCCGATATAATTATAAGGTTTATTAATTCGATGAAACTTGTATCAAGGACCATGTTGATCACATAAGAGAAACACTCTCAACAAATAGATCTTGACCTTTACCTTTTGGATTTGGTTAGAAAATTATTCTCGCTCAGATTTCATTTCAAATACAACATACATGAGTGCCTAAATTATTATAAAAAATCGTATTTTCGGCCATTGCAAAATTTTTTATATGAAACCCTTCAAGATAACTATATTATATATGTGGTTTGATGAAAAGAGTTCAAAAAATTTCGGCGATAATCTCGGCAAAATATGAAAATATGAAAATTAATTTCGGCACTATATAAGACTAATTTTGGCTGCCTAAATGCCGTAATTGCTTTTTTATTAAGATGGGCAATTTAGGCACCGCCGCCTATTTTCCCGATTGCGGTTCATTGGCACCTTAACATATTCTATTTACTTCTAATCAGACTATGGAATATACACAGCTGTTTCATTCTACTTCTCAGAACAGTGTGGGGTCTACACAACTGTTTCATTTCCACTTCTCGAGAACAGTGTAGGGTTTCACAGCTGTTTCGTTCTACTTTTCAGGACAGTGTGGGTTTACACAGCTGTCCCATTTTTCTAACGCGATCACGTGGTTTTGCAGCCGTCCCTCTATCAGTTACCTAAACTTAATTTCCTTTGGGGAAAGGTTGGTGGGAGAACCTTCCGAGTAGCCAGAAAATAGGATTTCGGGCAACTACGTACTAAAAGCAGCGAAAGAGAAGCACAACTTCCCTCTTTGATTTTGTGGTTTATTTATACTTGTCATTAGACTCGCAAGATTAATGACTAGTGTTGGCATTTGGACTAATTAAAATAATATGGACAAAAATATGGACATAGTCATTTTTCAATTGAACATATACATTTAAACTATGTATGACCTCATAATCATGAAAAAATCATTTGAGCGTCACTAGGTCAGGTGATTTTAATGAACATGAGGTCAGGTGATCCTCGCGATAATATCCCCTAATACTAAGTTTTTATTATCTAATGTGTAATGACTCGAAGATTTTACCATCGAAAACCGAACTACCGTTATACATCAGATTCCTTAAATAATAAATAAATAAAAAAAGTACTTATAAAATAATAGGTTTATATAGAAGAGAAAAAATTCAAAACATTACACTACAAATTTCGTACCAATTATCAATTTCAATTACAAACTGTTATTATAATAAATTATCATCGAAACCTGCCAAAAACATGTGAAAGACCTTTTTCGAACTGAATCCGCATATGATCCGATTATTTTTTTTCTACAGTCATCCAAAAGTAACTGCATAATACATATGTACGTACATACGTGCGTACAGATGAAATCGTGTGACTGTATTTATTGTCTTAAGTGAGGTTTCTGGTAATATAATGATAATAATCATTACACATAATTAGTACATGCACCACTTAGAAACATCAAGAAAAAACAAAAAATTTTTATTAACTATTTACTTCAGATTTGGTACACTCAAAAAATTCAGTACGTACATACGTAACGTACGTGTTAAAATATATACAGTACTGTACATTGAATTCTCGCTTCTCGAAATGATGATCAAAGTATCACAGGTTTTCCCAAAACAATGACCAAGCAGAACAATCACTGAGTGATGTACCGGAGTTACGAGCAAATATGTCCGAATACATATATATATATAGTTTTATGTTTTTTTTTTTTTTTATTAACGTTAACGTTAAAACAATTTAAATTTGTAAATACATAACTCAACACACTCTTTTTTTTTTTTTTTTACTGATATAATCATGTCTTTAAAAGATATCCGGATTGTTGTTGGAGTAGGTGAATATATCGATCATATTTATTTATCACTTTTATTTATACATTCAAAATATATAGTTTAATATTAAAAGAATTTTTTTCATTTAGATTTTGGAACCACATTTTCAGTAAGATATTTTTTTTCGTTCTCATAATCTAAACCAAGCTCACCAATTTTTTTTTTAAATCATTTATTCATTTCTTAATTTTCAAATAGGGGTTTGCCTACGCTCACAAAATAAATTCCGAAATAACAACCAATAACATTTGGCCAGACCATGTAGGTCAATTCAAAACCAACACAGCATTATTATATAACAATGAATTAAGCGAAGTCAAAGCATGGGGTCTTTCAGGTGAGGTTTTTTACTTGAAAAATTTTAATAGTTTAAAAGTTTCGACCTCGTCGATGATTCTAGTAGTCATATTTATTTTTTGATTAAAAAAAATTCATAATAAATTCCGCAGCATTGGCTGAAAAACCACGTAAAAGGCGTCCTCAAAATTTTGATAAATCGATACATGTTGAATTATTTAAATTACATCTGGGAGATATGTCAGACGATGAAAAACCATCATTACCTAACAATATGAATTATAAACAAGCAATAACCGATTATCTCTGGGAATTAGGTACAAATCACTTTTAAATTATTATTATTATATTTTTTATTAAAAAAAAGTTTTTTTTTTGACAATGCTTTCTCATAAATCTTTACCACCTTAAAAATGAAGGCATGGTAAATCTCTTTTTTCATTTATATTTAACATGTTTTAATGTTATGGTTCGGGACGTCTTGACGATTATTACAATTTTTAAAACCTTCTTTAAATCATCGTATTTCTACTGGTAATTTTATATAATGAGCAAACTTAAAATTTTTGAAAAATCTTGCTTCTATATTGAACGAATGGTTAAGACTTCCTGCATCATATATAATTTAAAATCTGTTTGACATAACGTATCTTTGTGTTTAGGTAGTGAAAGATACCATAGATAAACGATGGCCAGGCGTTGATTTCTTTAGAAATGTTCTACTGGTATTTGCGGTTCCTGCTGAATTTTCTGAAAAAGCAAAAGCAATAATGCGAAGCTGTAAGAGCAAATTTATATTAAATACCGTACAAAAAAAAATTTTTTTTCTTTTTTTATTAGAGGTTATAGTAATTATTATTATTATTGTTATTATTATTTAGGCATATATAACGCTGAATTAATAGAGACACTTGATTCTCAAAATTTGCAATTTACTACAGAACGTACGTATATTTTTATTTTAATACATATAACTAAAATAGGAAAAATTAATATATATTTATTTATTTATTTGTTTATTTATTTTTTTGTTAATTATTTAGCCGAAGCTTCTGCAATATATTGTATAGAAGCACTAAAAGAATGTTACGAATTTCCAGTTGGAAAATCATTCTTATTAGTTGATTGTGGAGGTGGTACTGTAGATCTTACAACAAGAAGATTATTAAAAGGAAATATATTGGGTGAAATTACTGAACGTACTGGAGGTTTTTGTGGTAGTGCTTATGTTGATAAAGAATTTATAAAATATATTAAAAATATAGTTGGTTCATCAGCTCTTAAATTACTTCGAGAAAATCATTATAGTCAATATCAATATATGATTCAAGAATTTTGTCGACTTGTTAAAACAGTTTTTACTGGTGATTTAGAAAAATTCAGAACATTTGAATTAGATCTTAACGAGTTTTGTCCAGCTATTAAACAATATATTAGAGGTACCCAAAGAGATCAACTTGAAGATGAAGAATGGATAATAGACCTTGATTTTTATGCGGTTAAATCAATGTTTGATCCAGTAATTAATCAAATAGTTAATTTAATAAGCTACCAATTACATAATGTTAATGATTGTGCTGCGATTTATTTAGTTGGCGGGTTCAGTGAGTCAAAATATTTGCAAACCAGAATAAGATCTGTTTTCAATTATGTTCCACATATTTTGGTTCCTAAAGAACCTCTCACTGCAATTGCTCGTGGTGCCGTGCAATATGGATTAGACACGAGAACTATTAAAACTAGAGTATTAAAATATTCTTATGGTGTTAAAGTCGCTTTTAAATGGGAACCAGGTGATCCTCCAGAAAGAAGAACTCAAAAGGGAAGAATTTTTAAATTCCATCAATTGGCAACACGTGGAACCATAGGTATTTTTTTTTCGAATTCTTATTTATAATTGAAAAAAAAAAGTTCATTTTTTTAATTCTCATCCGATTATCACTTTTTAAAATAGTCGAGGTCGATCAAGAATTCTCTGAGGTTTTCGTACCTTTTTCAAAAAAACAAACAACAAGGGCTTATCGGATATACATTACTCGTAAAACTTCTGGAACATATTGCGACGAAGTAGGAATGAAATTTCTTGGTGAACTTAGAATTAACTCTCCAAATACTTCTCTTGGAGTTGAAAGACCTGTACTATTTTCACTTCGTTTCGGTAAGATGGAAATTGATGCTATTGCAATAGATCAAACTACCGATCAAGTTTACAATACTACTTTTAAATTGGAATTGGATGAATCTGAATCTTCTCGGGAATAACTTTAATTCTATTTTATTTATTTATTTATTTATTATCTATTTTTATTTTTTTGGTTGCTACATTATATTTACTGAGTAATTTTATTTCGGTAATGCTAACGCTAAGTCGATTTTTTGATGAAGCGATCACAATAATCTATTATATAACGATAGACATACTTTCTTTCATTTTTGTAGAATAGCTTCAAATTTATTTCTTAGTCTTCTTTGAAAAACATATCTGTATATATCAGTGCATTATTTTAATTGCATAAAATTTTATTAAAAATGAACAATAAATAATGTTATAACAATTAGTTAATCGTTTAATTAAAATATATCGATATATATATATTTACTGTACGTTTTTATGCTGTGGGACAAATTTTTTTTTTAAAAAAAAAAAAAAATATTAGTGACGCCAAGGGAAAATGGGACATTGGTTTATCGATGAACGTATTTAAATGATAAACCAATGTCCCCTTATATACAGTCAGACCTCGTTATAGTCACTCTCAAATCACACGATTTTTTTGACCTAGTTACTATATTATAAACCATATAAAATTTGATCTTTATACATAGTTACAACTTTTAATAATCACCAAAATATTGTTTCCAAACCCGGTGATTATATCGAGGTCTGACTGTATATACAGTCAGACCTTTAAATATACGATAGAAGACTGGCCCCATAATGGGACTTATAGATAAGTGCATGTTCTTTATTCTGCAGTTGCACGCTAATTGTCTGTCCCACTTATAAAAACTCCCTCCATAAATGCAAACACATGATTATTAGCCAATCAAATTCATTATTTCTAGGCTATTTATCACATGATAATAGTAACATTATGATTTTATTAGTGTTCTCTAATTGCAACCCTCCCTAAATGCAAACTCTAGAGCTGGTCCCGATAACATGCATTTAGAGAGGTTTAACTATATACTTTTTTAAAAAAATTTAGTTAAAACTAGCATTTAAAAACACGGGCATGTGATGATAGAAATTACAAGACTGCAAGATACGGAAATATTATTTCTAATTAAAGTAAAAATTTCGATTTATTTCATCCATTTTAGGCTATTCTTAATAAACAATTTCGATTTATTTCGAAAAAAACTCCTCCAAAAACTAGATTGTAGCCAGTATTAAGATTTAAAGTCGATTTCTAATCGTTTTTTTAACGATATCAATTCAAACGCTTAGTAAAATGTCCAATCAATAATTTGCGTATTAATTTCGTAAAACTCGATCAATTTTGGCTGAAACGTCAAGAAATTTCGAAAAATTCGATCAAATTTGACTGAAATTTCAAGAAATTTTTCGATGGCTAAAAATTATCTCGAAAATTTGGTTAGCCAATAATACTGTAATAAATTATAATGTAATACTGTACAATCTGAGAAACATCGCCTATTTTTCAAAATTTGTATAATCGCTAACAAAAAGTTTTGATTAAGCATTTTAGTCTAAATGACGAAAGCATTTTTCAATCATCGCATACTCATGTTTGTTGATGATTACCTTCCCATGTGTCTAAATCTTACAGTTGTTATTTACCTTCCATATTTGCATAGTCACGGCCATATTAACCTTACCTTTAGTGGTTTGTATTAAGCATTATTATTTATTCTCGGTGGCATAATGCATGTAATAATGCTCAAAAAAAAAAAAAAAAAAAAACTGCGTAAACGTTCAAAATATCGTATCTAATATAGACTAAAATGTATATAAGTAACAGTTAAAGGAAGATATATGCCCTCTGAATTCATCTAGTGATTTGAATCGAGTACCTATTAATTAATCGGTTAACCAAACCGTCTCAACAGATTAACCGGAATTATTACGGTTGACCCGGGTTATCCGGCTAGGATTGGGATCGAGTCGACTAAAAAATTTTTATAGTAAGCTACTATGTTTAATCGACTAATTAGTTGATTAAACATAGTAGTCGACTAAGCATAGTCGACTAAACCGATTCTAATCCCTATATCCGGCTTAACCGTATCAACTGAGCCTAAAAAATATCAACCGGATTAAACAAATCGAATCCAACACTTGAAATATTCAACATGTTGAATAGAGGTTGAGTGGTATTGAATTATTCCATTTAACATGTCAAAAATTTAAATTAGAAACTTTGAAAATATTCAAATGCTTTATATTCATCTTTTTCAATTCCTTTTGCATATTACAGTATATAGTGCACCTTGACCTTGATATAGCTATATAAATCTTTGAACCATAATACTTTCAAATTAAAATCTGTAAAAAAAACAAATTGAAGCAAATTTTTTATTACCATATAAGCGCATATGTAACCTCAAATTTAACGCATGTAATTTTTCGCACGAAAAAATATGATTCATGTCTATAAATATATTTAACAAGTGTTGTCACTGGAAGACCACTGGAAGGTCACTGGAAGTAAATCAATAGTGTTACTGGAACTTTAAGTTTCAGTGACACTATTGATTTACTTCCAGTGGCCTTCCAGTGACAACACTGTATTTAACAATACCCGGGCCAGTATTGTCCATTTAGACCATATCCAGATTTACATATAACAATGTAGCCATTACGCAATAACGTTAGCAGGTAATTGCTCATTTCAATGATTGTATTGGGAATGGAAGTTTGGAAAACAAATGTGCAGAAAATCCGGAAGTAATCGACGTAAGGTTCATGAAGTTTGTGAATATAAAGGACAAAGGATATAAGACGTTTAATCGAAGGCGTAATGGAGATTAAATATAATTCGATAGTAAAAAGAATAAAGAACATGATCAAGGTAATCGGAATATGAAGGGAAAAATGAAAATCAAAGACATACCTGAAGGTCTTGGCAAAGAAAACATTCGAAAGAGCGAATGTGATGAAGGTGAAAGAATGAATGTCGTCAAAAATTAGCAAACTGAGTAAGAACACTATAAACGAAAGCAAATTGAAGATGAAGTAGATTTTGAGGATAATGTCAGGATGACGTGTGTTGAACGAATTAATAAAGGTTCTGAAAGCATTGAACGAAGTAATGGATGTTGATAAGGAGAAAATTGATAAAAATAAAAGAAAGGATGTAATTGTTAATCAGTAAATGATGAGATTTGTGAAATGAACGATGAAAATTTTGAAAACTCACTTGAACTGGATGTTTAAGTGACCCGCAAGATTGATTCTGTCGATAAATTTGATGAAAATGAACTGAATAAGGATCTTGAAACGGCGAAACCAGAAGTAGGTGATGTAAGTGAAGATAAAGGTAAAGATGCAAACGTCGCCGAAGCTAATGAAGTTGGTGATGTCTGATCTTTTGTGTTCGTATTGGTTATGTCGCAGGTGTATAGGCATATTGAAACTTTGCGGACGAAATTTCTGAGGATCTGACTGATGACATGGGTAAATCGAATATTCTTGGAAGTTGTGGTGTGGTGGAGTACCTGAATGATACATCAGTCCAAGGCATTATAAAACGAGTGGCTTTAACTATATAAAGATGAACCCCACCCCGATAGTTTGATATAACTATCACATTAGTACTGTACATAGAACCACTATATAAGGCTCATGCGCGTTATTTAAAACATGCTAAAATCGATTCTTATTTCGAAATACCGCTCATGCGCGTCTAACTTTAAAGAACTAAACTTACATTCTGATTCATAATTATAAATACAGTTAACTTTCTTTATAATGAACTGAAATATTTTGGAAACCCACACAAATAAAATTACATTTGTCAGGTTCATTTTAATATACTTTTTTAAAATAACAACGCCTTTTTTTAGTGTCCGAAGCGTAGCAAGGACTTATAGTACTAGAGATGGGGGGATCCCTTATGTCAAGAAAATCCCGAGCTGAAGATCACTGTAGATCCTTTCCGATCTGATTCCGGAGCCCAAATATTCA